AAGTACAGTAATAGCCCACATTCTCTAATTTGTTTTAATGAGAAATAAAATATGATTACTCACGCAAAATCGGCTGTTGGCATGATCATAATACCAACTTTTTGGGGGTGGGAGTTTGGGTTTTTTTTGTTTGTTGGAGGGTTTTTTTGTTTTGTTTTTTACTGGCTGGAGCCAGAAAATGGATGAAGTATAAGTTTTATGTGGAGAATAAAATAGAAGCAGCTGTATAGTGTGATGCATAACCAAAAATTCAGTGAGGAAAAGGCTGAAGCGTGAGGGTCAAGTAGGATGTGTGCATTATACACAATTTGACATAATAAGTCTGTGTGAAATAGTGGGTGTAAAAGAATTCTTTGAAAGGGAAAATAGAAGTCAGCATAGAGTTATATGCCAGGAAAAAAAGAAAAGAAAAAAGTTTTTTCTTGAGGGCAAGAAAAAGGTTTCCTCTGAGGCAAGAGTCTGTGCTCACTGAGGAGGGTTGTAACATGACTTTTCAGGCAAACTTAGACAAAACAGTCCTATATAATTTTTGAACTATAAAAACTTGTTCATTTTGAGGCTTTAAAAAATCCCATATTTTTCCATCTATGTCTGCTTTTAAGTCCCATGTTTAAATAATAGTATTAAAATCACTTATGAGATAACTATACTCCAAGTTCAGGTAGTTTTAAAGTATGCTTGGGTGGCAGTCACTGGAAATGCTTCATTAATGAATATGTCATGGGGTGGGGACAGAACTTAGCCCTCTTACGATTACTTACTGTAGCCCAGCACGATTACTTTTGTATCATTTTAATAGGGAGCTAATGAAGACATCAGAATTATTCTTTTAAAAAAATACATGAAAAAAGAAATGAGAGAATTAACCAGTTGCCTCCAGTTGTTCTTGGAAGCAAAGTCAGTAATATCTGAGAGGAAATACAAATGACAAACTGCCGTGACAGAAGGCAATGTTCGAGAAATTACATTTCTGGAGCATGAAAAGCCAGGAATGCTGTGATCTGTGGAAGAGTGTCAGCTGGGAAGAGCATGGCTTCTTCACCAGAACTTGCCCAAAGAACAAGGTCATGTTCTTCGTCCTTGATTTACATAATAAACTTAAATTCTGACATTGAAACTATGAATTTGATAGAAACCCAGGATTATCAGGATTACAGACAACTACCTAATTACCAATAAGCTAATTTATTTGTTTTACCAAAATAATTAGCTTGTCTTTCTAAATAGCAGAAGACACAAGCAGTGAAAATTGTTACTCAAAAGCAAACATTAACTACTGCTGGTTCAAGATTTGTTAATGTTTTGAATTCTTCCATTCAGTAAGTTTTAAAGGAGTTTTTTCTTTTGTTATTTATTATTTTATTTCTTTAACAACATTTAATGTAAATCTTAATCAGGATGTACCGATTATGTAAATTAAAAAAGATGTAGTCCTGTTCTTATGAAAAGGTCAAAAAATAGGAGATGTTAATACTTTGTTATTGCCAGGATTTTTTTTTTTTTTAATTCTTTAAAAAAAATACAATCCTCTGTCTTGTTAGGAAACAAACAAAAATTCAAGTGTTCCTAATAAAAAGTACACCATTAAGCGGGTGGCAGAAAATATCTGTATGTTATATAGAGAGATATGTATGAAACATAGATATAATTGAAACACAAGTTGTCGTGTGGATGTGACAGTGAATATGGCTTTAAAAGCATCTTTTAAAAAAAATTGGGCTGTCTTAAATATAAAAAATATTACAAAAACTACACTAATTGCAAAAACATCCACTCTGATATATAACACAGTAAATTTTATTTGACTCCTCTGTCTGTCATGTTTTCTGCTATACCTCAGCAGTACATCACGGATATAGGCAGCGATTTCCTAGGCAATGGTTGTTGCTCATTATAAGCAGCATTATCTAATACAAATAAGATCATTTTCAGTTACTTCACTTCTACATTATTTTCAGTCCTTTAGCAACAACAAATCTATTTGTAAGTAGCATCAGTAACATACTTTCAGCTGTAATTAGATCAGCTACTTATTGCTTGGGTCAGAATAAAATCTTTCTCAGAGAATTTCTGTCTGTCAAGCAATTAAGACATTTGATTTTAATTTGGAGACAAAAGCTGCACAGCTCCAATTTATTTAATTCCTACAGCCATAGTGACTGGTAGTTATAAATAAACACTATTAATAAATAATTAATCTGTAACTAAAGACTAGGATCTGTCTAGAATATTTGCCAAATGCCTACTTCAGGAAATCTCTCTGGAGCGTCTGTCATTCTCACAATTACTGTGGAGAGAGACAAGTGAGTGTTTCAGACAATTAAATTAATGCATGAGGAAAACAGCAGCGCATTGGCTTGGAGACTAATAACTTCGGTGTTATTTACAATAACAATTCAAAATGCTGAATCCCAAAATGCTAAATAAAGAAAGGGCAAAGTTCAGTGTGGTATTGGGGACCTATGGCAGTGTAACAAGAAAAGATCCTTACAAGCTATTGGGAATAAGAGATGGGGATTAAAAATGAAAATGATGAAAATGAGTAGGAAATCTGATGCATTTCTACCTCCCACCTCAGCCTCCAGGTTTCAAACGAGGCCTGAAATGTCATTCATGTAATTATTACCATATCAGGTTGAAAGCAATTTCAGCTCAGCTGATTTGATTGTGCATTAATGGCTGCGAAAAGAAGATAAGGAATGTGCATGGTAAAAATAGCTGCCCATTACAATAGCAGCAAATGGGGTCAACTTATTCGATAACCTTAAACTCCTTGATGGTTCAGATGTTTTTATTTTTTTTGTTTATTAAAGGTTAACACCAAATATGAATCTAGAAATAAGTTAATTGAAGCCTTTCCTGTCAACCTTTGCCTTTCTTGTGTGACTGTCTGAATAGTGACAGACTCTTGAGAGAGAGTTTACTAAATCCCAAGGTGTCGATGATGGAAGGTATCAGTAGCTCTGTTTCTTCCCTGTCAGTGGTGGTTGCAAAGGACAACATGTGGCATACCTCCTCGTCACTGGAAAGTGACAGCTGACTTGTAATCTGTCAGCAACTGCAATTTCATTCCAGCAAAATGTGGAAACGGCAGCTAACACATTGGTTACTGCTCCAGCCATAGCCAAGAGTCTAAAAGGGCCTTGTTGCCGACTACTGACCTGGCAGGAAACTGGTTCATGCTGCTGACGAGAGAGTCTGTAGCCACCAGCTTCACAGAACAGCTTTTCCTCCTATGTTTCAGCATTTCAAAGGATCTCTCCATTCATTGCTTTTCTGTCCTCTCTCATGTACCTTTTTCTTTATCTTTACTGTATAAAACATAAGACACATGTTTTCCCCTACAGAAGCTCTCCCCTCACATTTGCTTTCTAAACTATAGCTTACACTGAAGTTGGGAATGAATTTGCAAAAGCTGTTGTCACGGTCGAATGGCTCCCAGTACGTGGGCCTCTCACATTTTATTTGGACTGGTTCGGCTGTGTCCTGCCTCTCCTTCAACTTCACTGGGTCTAAATAGATACAACTAAAATAATTTTTCAGAATTCCTCTGTATCTATTTATGAATACCTTCTGCTCACTGATATTATCCGGATGTTGGTCAAAAAGGAAAAACAGATAGGAAGGAAGGTAAGTTTAAGACGTATCTCATCCAGACTGCAAATAGCAACTGTTAAGAAAAAAATCTGAACAAAAATATCCAGTGTCATATGAAGATCAAAATGACTATAAAACCATTTTAAAAGCCCTCTCATGTAGTAGAGACAGGCTTTGAAAGGTTGTTCTGGAAAACCTGACCTGCTGAGCACATTGGAATAGTGATTCTCAGGAAAATAAATTATTTCTTAAAAATGCCTATCCTCTTATGTTTTGTTCCAACTTAGGTAAATAAGTAAGAAGAATTGGTATGAAATATATAGTGCCCTTCAAACTAACTGATTTGTGGAGTTCCTCCACAGGAGTTACAAATCCTTCCACTATTTCTTTATCAAAGACAGGCTGTAAGGAACCTGTATGTGCCTTGATAAGCTATGATCTAGAAAACCAAGCAGGATTTATGATATAGAGCCATACAACATCAGAGGTAGGAGGAGATGTCCAAAAGGAACACTACATAAAAATAAACCAGAAGAAATTCAATACAATGAGATTTTTAACACAAACTCAGGAATTTGATGGGCTATTTTTCAAAAAAAACCCCAAACCCTGTACCCTTCATATTTGCTTATATGTCTCTAGCGAAATATCACTGCTGGAACACCTGGTTTTAGCTACATACATCTACAGAAGAAAGAATAATTTCTTTGAATCACTAGAATTGCTTCCTACTTTTGTCTGACTGTATACATCCTTAATCCTGGCAGCAATAAGAATAGTAACTGTCACATGAAATTAAAATGTTATCAAGTAGTGTATGAAAGTAATTTCATTTATTTAATTTTTATGAAATTGAAAAGTGATTATTTCCAAAACCCTAAACTCATTTATCAATAAACATATTTTAAAAAACCCCTTGACACAAATACTAAAAACCTGTTCCCTAGTAGTGTTATTAGGTCAGGGAGAAATTAGAGATTTGGCACGCTTAAAGCATTGTGCTCTTATCTGCATATATACAGTGCATTTTGGGGAAAAAAGCTGTTAATCTTGTTTCTTCTCTAGCTATAATACTTGACAGAATAAAATCTAATTTACTGATTTATAATATCATAGTGAATAAATGAGTGAATCTGGTAAAATTTTAAATTAAAATCTTTCCTCTTTCTGTTTATAAGTACGTTACTTTTCATTCTGACAGAGTCTTTTGACTTGAATGAATTACCGTCCACAGAAATGGCTGGACAGGGAATTCATAACTGCTACTTTGTCAATTGTTTACTTTGAGTGTGCAGTAAAGACTGTCTGTGGAAATGACATCCAGCAAAATACTGAAGCAACAAATTAAGTATGTCACATCTTAATCAACAATGATGTCTAATTATGAAAGAATCTGTACTTACTTGCCAAGTGCAAAACACTCCATCTTAACAGTAGTTCCCCTTGCAGCTGTAACTATGTAAGGAAAATGGACTTCAATTTTTGGTTCATATTCCCCCATCACACCTGGAAAATAAGGAATGTTTAAAACATGAAGTAGTTTTCCATTTGTTGAGATTTTCACAGAAAAAAACACTGTGGCTTGCTTTTTGAATCTGCTCAGAATTAAAGCTAGTAAATAATGGAGATATCTTCTTTTGGTCTGCTCAGGTCCAGTGCATATTCTTTAATACTCTTCAGAGTTACCAACAGCAAAATAGTGTTCTTAAAAAAAAAAAAAAAAAAAGGAATTATTTTCTCAAACATGGGCTAATATTTACATTTGGAAAGATTAAAGGAGGCAATCACTTTTAGAAGGGTGAGAATTTTCTTAGGCCAAAGCTTTGTTTACCAGTGCAGTGACAGTTATAAATAAACACATCTTGCTGTGATCAACTGAGGATCTTCTAAACTCAGCAAGAAAAACTCAAATGATGTAAGACATTTCTGTACACAGATACAAACACAAATATGAAGACACATAAAAAGTTCAGTTATTTAATTTTCAATGACCTTTTTAATTTAGGAAATCATTCATTTTATCAGGACAACACATTTAGTACTGTAAGAAACAAGTAGAAAAACATTCAGAAATGTGAAAAATATAAACATTGCAATCAATAGAGCTATCTGGAATTTGCTGCGGAGTGACTGACAGCTTTGGAGGATCACAAAAATTTAGAAAATAAGAAACGAGCAGGCAAAGGAGACAGGTTTTATAAGGTGAGGTCAGAGGTTTGTATTTGATGCAACTTAGAGGAAATGTCATAATAAACATGGCAGGAGAATAATATGACTCTAAGAGCTGTTTTCAGATAGACAGAAGATGGGCTGGTAGGATCTCCTCCTGTTGTCCCACAGGCTCATGTAGGTTTGCTTTGAGAGGATAATATATGCATGCATATAAACATGTTTTTGGGGGCTAATTTTAGTTAGAAAATCTGAATGTGTCTGGTATAAATCAAATAACAGAAGTAAAATGCATAAAATACTTTTAATCCACATCGTATAATACCATAAATTATGTGGCTTTTTAAGTAGTAAATTTCTTTTTTAAAAAAATATAATCATGCAATTATTACATGTTATATTTGGTTTGCATGGCAAGATTTGGGTAGCAGGGGGACCACAAGGTGGTTTCTCTGAAAAGCTACTGGAATATTCTCCCATGTCCAACAGAGCCAATGCCAGCTGGCTCCAAGACAGACCTGTCTCTTGCCAAGGCCAAGCCCATCAGTGATGGTGGTAGTGCCTCTGGGTTAATGTGTTTATGAAAGGGAACACCTCCTGTGCAACAGCAACTGCAGTTGGAGAGTGGAGTGAGAATACGTGAGAATAACAGCCCTGCAGACCCCCAGGTCAGTGGAGAAGGAGGGGGAGGAGGTACTCCAGGAGCCGGAGCAGAGATTCCCCGTCAGCCCATGGTGCAGCCCATGGTGAGGCCGGCTGTGCCCTGCAGCCATGGAGGGTCACGGGGGAGCAGAGACCCACCTGCACCCCGGGAGGAACCCACGCTGGAGCAGGGGATGCTCGAAGTAGGCTGTGACTCTGTGGGCAGCCCACACTGTAGCAGGCTCCTGGCAGGAGCTGTGGCCCCATGGAGAGAGGAGCCCAGGCTGGAGCAGGTTTGCTGGCAGGACTGGTGACACCGGGGATACCCAGGCTGGAGCAGGCTGCTCCTGAAGGCTGGCACCCGTGGGAGGGACCCACGCTGGAACAGTTCATGAAGAACTGCAGCCCATGTGAAGAACTCTATTTGGAGAAGTTTGTGAAGGACTGTTTCCTGTGAAAGGGACCCCAAACTGAAGCAGGGGCAGAGTGTGAGGATCCTCCTCTGAGGAGGAAGGAGCAGCAGAGACAACATGTGATGGACTGACTGCAACCCCCATTCCCTGTTCACCTGTGCTGCTCAGGGGGAGTAGGTAGAGAAATTGTGAGTGAAGACAAGCCTGAAAAGAAGGGAAGGTTGGGAGGAAGGGGTTTTTAAGATTTGGTTTTAGTTCTCTTCTTAATGTGATTTAATTGGTGATAAATTACAGTTTTTTTCTCCCAGTTGAAACTGTTGTGCTCGTGATGGTAATTGCTGAGTGATCTCTCTCTGTCCTTGTCTTGATAACTTTTTGTTGTATTTTCTCTCCCACGCCCATCTGAGGAGGGCAGTGACAGGGTGGCTTCGGTGGGCACCTGGCCCCAAGCCTCGATCAACCCACCACACATGTAATAGTGGCAATGACCCATTTTTCCTCAAAACCATGATTAAATCAATATTTTGATATGTCTTTATGAACTTGTGGAGAAATACTTACCCTTGTATGAAAGGCAAGTTCTGAATCAGTCCTGTCTTTAAAGCTTAAAATATTTTTATTTGTAGAAAAAATGAAATTTACATCTGTGTCCTGTGTATTAAAATAAAGTCAGGGCATCAACCAAGTGGTAGTCAATTAGAATTTTCCCTAGACTAGAATGAAATAATTTCTAGCTTAATCTGTCATGAAAAATATATTCCCACTGGCTTGCATTGTGTTAATAATTTCATAATTTAATAACATTCCTTGCAACTCCTTATACTATTTCTGGATTTTTTTTTTCTGATTATGAATACCAGTTTCTGATTAATTTCAGCTGAGTCATTCATAAGCTTATAAGATATCTGTCATATTCCTTTTTAGCTGCGTCTTTTACAGACAAATCCCAAACTATTAATTCTTCCTTACAGTAAATCTTTAATAAACTTGAGATCATTCCTACTGCCCATGTTGCACCATTTCAAATTGCATTCTATCATTCTGAGATGGAAAGATTATAACAGCACAGCAATATTGAAGCTGTAGACCTTTCCATCACAGGTTTTTTTTGCTTGGGTGTTGTTATTTGGGGTTTATTTTTGTTTGTTCCCTACTGCCTTCCTCACTATACAGGTCTATTTCACAGAATCACAGAATGCTAGCAGTTGGAAGGGGCAATCACCTAGTCCAACCCCCCCTGCCAAATCAAGTTCATCTACAGCAGGTTGGACAGAAAGTCATGCAGGTGGATTTTGAAGATCATCAGAGAAAAAGACTCCACAACTTCTCTGGGCAGCCTGTTCCAGTGCTCTGAAACCCTCAAAGTGAAGAAGTTTTTCCTCATGTTGAGGTGGAATTTCCTGTGTTCCAGTTTGTGCCCACTGCCCCTTGTCCTGTCGCTGGGCACCACTCAAAGGAGTCTGGATCCATCCTCTTGATACCTGCCCTTTAGGTACTTACAAGCATTGAAAAGATCCTCACTCAGGAGATGATCTCTTCTCCAAGCTGAACAGACCCAGCTCTCTCACCTTTTCCTCATGAGAGGTGCTTCACTCCCTTGATCACCTTTGCAGACCTCTGCTGGACTCTCTCCAGTAGTTCCCTGTTGTGGTTTAACCTCGGCTAACAAATGGAGTACCACAGAGCCACTTTGTCCCCTCCCCTCCCTTCCAGTGGAGGAGGAGAATCAGAGAAAAAGACAAGGAAGCTTGCAGATTAACAGGAACTACTTAATAACTGAATATAAATGACTATCATAATGATACTAATAATATTAACAATATTACTAATAACATGTAATGAAAATAAAATTATACAACTGCTCACCACCTGCTGACCAACACACAGTCAGGTTCCAAGTAGCAAGAGCCAGAGCCAGAGAGCCTGGGAGTCAGAGCCTCAGACCGTCAAAGTCCAAGCAAGCCTGAGAGAGATATCACACTGGAGGCCAAATGAGCCCCTCAAGCGAGAGCACAATCGAGAATGCCAACCGACTCACAGACTCACTAACATATGAACGAGATAACGCATGAACAAACGAGCTAACAAGGAAGTGAGCTAAGTGAAAAAGCTAGCTAACAAAACGGGCAAGCTAAATAAACAACCAAGTTATGGTCCCTGGCCCAATCCAAGCTTATATACTGAGCAAGACATGATGTGAAATGAAATACGCCTTTGGTTAGTTTGGGTTAGCTGTCTCAGCTGTGTTCCCCTCTCTATCCCTGCTTTTAGCGAGAAGGTTGGGAACACAGGTGAAGCATGTGTGAAGCCCATAGTGTGCACTGGCAGCCCAGAAGGCAACCCCTATCCTGGGCTATATCCAGAGAAGTGTGGCCAGCAGGTCGAGGGAGGGGATTCTCCCTTTCTACTCTGCGCTTGGGAGACCCCACCTGGAGTGCTGCGTCCAGCTGTGGAGCCCTCAACATCAGAAGGATATTGACTGGTTGGAGTGAGTCCAGAGGAGGCCACAAAGATGCTCAGAGGGCTGGAGCACCTCTCCTATGATGAAAGGCTGAGAGAATTGGGCTTGTTCAGCCTGGAGAAGAGAAGGCTCTGGGGAGACCTAATTGCAGCGTTCCAGTACCTGAAGGGGCCTACAAGGAAGCTGGGGAGGACTTTTTACAAGGGCCTGTTGTGACAGGACAAGGGTTAATGGGTTTAAATTGAAACCGGGAAGATTTAAATTGGTTATCAGGAAAAAAATTCTTCACGGAGAGGGTTGTGAGGAATTGGCAGAGGTTGCCCAGAGAAGCTGTGGATGCCCCATCCCTGGAAGTGTTCAAGGCCAGGCTGGATGAGGCTTTGAGCAACCTGGTCTAGTGGAAGGTGTCCCTGCCCATGGCAGGGGGATTGGAACTAGATGATCTTTAAGATCCCTTCCAACCCAAAAATTTTTATGACTATATGATTCTATGATATCCTTTTGCAGCTCTTCACAGTTAGTTTCAATTTTAACTATTCTTAATAATTTTATATCAACCACCGTTACACCTCCATGTTCATCTTCTTTCCAGATCGCTTATGTGTTGAATCGTGAAGTCCCAGAAAATTGTTCTGTAGCTTCACTGATAATCTCCCAGTTCTTCAAACTGATCAGATAATCCTAGAACAGGTGGATTTTTTACGTGTTGTTAATTCAAAATAGGGCTGACCTTCAACCTCTCCAAGAATCTAATTTCTTTGACAGCCTTTGATGAGTGACCTTGTCAAGAGCTATTTGAAATTAAAGTACAGTGTTACCTT